TTTAACATAGGGATGTAACGGTATTGTAAATACCGTCATACCGCAATATTAAATTTTTTCGATATTACCGAAGTCGCATGACTCGGTAAAACTATAGGTCTTCAGAGAAAATTTGCTCAGGCGAATGAAGCGAACGGGAGGTAGCTGGAACTTCATTTCCCATCAGCCCCGGCGTGGCCATAATCCTTTGCGGTCTGTTGTCGCTACAGATCCAGTAATGCGGAAATGGAGTGTGCTGCTAGTAGCGGAGATGAAAAAAAGATGGAAATGATCGAACCTAAAGCGGGTGTTGTCGCCGCGCGCGTGCTGAATAGCGGTGCTGTCGCGCGCGTTCTGATCAGCTGTGTTGTGGCGCGCGTATTGTAAAGCGCCGAGGGGGGGTTGAGCGCGCATACTCGAGAGGTGTTGTCGCGCGCCTACTGAAGGGCTGGACTGGACGGAGGTTGTGTCGCGTCGCGGGGGCACTTTTGATCGTTTTGGAAGGGCATTTTCTATCCAAGACTAAAAAGGGCATGTGCACTGCACAGGTTGAGCCCTATGTGTGCACGTGCCTGCAAGTTGGGGAATACGACTAATAACAGTCATGGGGACTGCAGAAACACAGCACACTGTTCAGATTGATGCAGACATTGACTTGTACCGCAAAGAGATCTCTATCTCACTCATGGTTTGTCCTCTCAAGTGGGGGAAAGACAATGCACAACGTTACCCCACTGCTGTCAACATGGGCCAAGTCATATCTCTCTTGTCCCAGAATCCTCAGTCCCAAATGAGAGGGGTTTTTTCTGTTGCAGGGGACATTGTAAATACTCAGAGATACCAGTTTTTACCAGATTATAGTTATATGATAATTTTCCTTTAAACCCATCTCTATCTAAGTGAGTGATTAAATGTTAAATGTGATGAGTTTTTAACAATACTAAATTGAAACTTTATTTTTTTACATGGTTTAATAATTTTTTGTTATTAAAATTGAAGTTCCTGTTTCAAAGCTAACAGATAGATGGCTAATTTGTATGTCACTGACACTTTTGGCACTTTTTTGGGAGTATTTTCAAAAGTTTTTTTTTTCCTGTAAATGATTCAATAAATACCGTACCGTGACATTCATACCGAGGTATTACCGTACCGTGAAATTCTGATACCGTTACATCCCTAATTTAACATCTTATGAAAAGGGGCATAATAGGCCCTCTTTATATCTTAATGCTGTCACAGTGAGAAACAAGACAAAGAAGAATTGTAAAACTAATATAATGACACTTTATAAAGCATAATGACCTAATAAAAAGCACATTAAAATCCTCGCAGTGTTCCTTAATTTTGAATTACCGGCAGAATCATTGTGAATGTTTAATCAATTGAGGGTTTTTTGTTAACATTTGAGCGATTCTGCAAATTTGAATGCGATTCAAATGAGATTCATTTAAATAATGGATTGAATTTCAAATATTTGAACTGCCTCAAATAAATGAAGCACACTTACGATGATTTGGAAGAAATTTTGTTGCTTTATTTTAAAAAAGTGTTGCTTTATGACTACATGTGAGTGTAGAAAGATCCTCTAATTCAAATTATGAAAGCAAAAATAGCCTTGTATTTGTTAGGTAGGTACTATCACTCAAGCATGAGTGCTGTTTTTACAAAAATCAACACATTGGCAAATACACAAGAAGACAGCATTTAGGCTACATTGCGAAAATAAAAATTTGAACACAATACTGTCTGTTCTTGCTAATCAAAATAGATTGAAAAAGGTCAGAGCAGAACATTTCTGCCTCTTGAGAGTAAAACAGCAGCATTTTGTTCCTGAATAAATTTGTTTTTGAATGAATCATTCACTTGTAATTTTTGCTATTTGATTACTTTTTAAATGAATCAGCCTTTTTGAATTATTTGAATCAATGATTCCATGAATCATTCTTTAAGGCAGAGGCAGGATCTGCCAGAACTAACTGACAATTTTAGTATTAAACTTATTTATCCACAAAACAAACAAAAAAAGTTAAATATTTATTTTTCAATCCACTAAAAAGCTAATTGAATCATTTATTCATTCATTTTCCTTTGGGTTAGTCCCTTTATTCATCCGGGGTTGCCACAGTGGAATGAATCACCAACTTATCCAGCATATGCGGATGCCCTTCCAGCTACAACACAATACTGCGGAACGCATGCTAACAAAGGGAGAACATGCAAACTCCAAACAGAAATGCCAACTGACCCAGCCGGGACGAGAATTAGCGACCTTCTTGCTGTGAGGCGACAGCGCTAACCACTAAGCCACCGTGCCACCCTAATTGAATCATTGCCATCACAAAATCATTAATACAGCAGCCTGCTCTAATATGTGTATTTCTGCAGCATGTGGGTGGAGTCACATTCAACAAGCCCCTCCCCTCGAGCTCAGATGTCATGCATTTATGAGACGCTGTGTGTGTGTAAGAGGTCAGGGGTGGCGTGGCTGTTTGTACGGCGGCTGCACAGAGCTTTGAGTTTCAGCAGAAGGAGGGAGCGTGCGAGGCGGATGCCAGCTCCTACTCTTTAATCCTCCCTCTCTTTCTCTTACTCTACCTTCTCCTTTATCTCCCTCCTCGTTTGGTCTCTTTCGCTCTCGTTTCCACACACAATGCGCCTCGTCTCCTTCCATCTCCTCTCTCCGTCTGGCAAACACACAAGCTCCCGGCATCAGACTGCGTTAAAGAGGTTTCGAGAGAGAGAGGGAACGGGGCCAGAGGAGGAAAAAAAGGGGCCCCGGTCTCTAAGTGTTCCTCTGGCTCAGGAGAATCCACTTCAGGCTCCTCTCGCTCTGTTTGCTTGTTTTATGCCCCTTTTACGAGGGGAAGTATGTACACAAGAGCCGGGTTTTTTTTTTGTTTTGTTTTTTTCTGATGCAAATAAACGTCTCATGTTAACACTCTGCGTGTTGAATGAGCGGGTTTTACTTCGAGTGATCTGTCTTGTGGAACTACATGCTGATGCTTTAGTATTATACTCGCGTAGTGAGGCTGTACAGCTAAAGGCTTTGTTTGCAGTAATTAGACCAACTTCCAGCATTGGAAATCCTGCTTATTATGTTTCCTTGTGGTCTGCGACGTATTATAGTGGATCAGCGTGGTTTTAAAAGCATTTGTCTTGTAAGATGGTTGTTAATCGAGGAGGGCGAAGAGGCTTTGGTTCTTATTCTGACATGTTTAATCAACAGATCAACTGATTTGACATGTCAAGTTTGGATTGTTGGTAATATTGTGAATGGAAAATGGTTTGTGAATGGAAATGGAATATTTCCTTAAAATATTTCTTTAAATGCAGTATTACCAAAAATGTTCCAATTTCCTTCATTCATTAATTTCTCTTCGAACACAGTGGAATGAACCGCCAACTACTCCAGTATATGTTTTACACAGAGAATGCCCTTCCATTCGCAACTCTGTTCTGAGAAACACTTATAGACACTCATACACACACACTATGGGGCAATTTAGTTTATTTACTTCACCTACACTGCATGTCTTTGGACTGTGGGGGAAACCGGAGCATCCGGAGGAAACCCACATGAACACGGGAAGAACATGCAAACTCCACACAGAAATGCCAAATGACCCAGCTGAGAATTGAACCAGCAACCTTCTTGCTGTGACAGTGCTTACCACTGAGCCACCATGCCACCCCCATCTCCTTCATTTCGGGACATAAATTAATATAAAAAAACAGCTTTAAAAACAGGTTTAAGCTGTTTTTTTTATTAGCTATATTATAGCATATAATAATTTAGTTTTTCTTACTTATAAACTAGTAAAACCTTACTTTATAAAATTTAAAAAAGTTTCTAAAATGCACTTTTAAGTGTTTATATAGTCATTTATAGTTTATTTAGTCATTTTTTCAGTGTAGTGGAAAAAAACATCTACAATGCACTTTTAAGTGTTTCATTTGTCATTCATTTTAAGCTGTTTTCATCAGCTATAGGCTACTATAGCATATAATAATTTTGTTTTTCTTACATATAACCTAGAGCAGGGGTGTCAAACTCAATTCCTGGTGGGCCGAAGCCCTGCACAGTTTAGTTCCAACCCTGCTCCAACACACTTACCTGTAGGTTTCAAACAAGCCTGAAGGACTCAATTAGTTTGATCAGGTGTGTTTAATTAGGGTTGGAACTAAACTGTGCAGAGCTGCGGCCCTTTTTGAACTGAGTTTGACACCTGTGACCTATAGCATTACTTTATAAAGTTAATAAAGTCATTTATACTTTGAGTCATTTTTTTCAGTGTAATGGAAAAAGTTAGTCTAAAATCCATATTTAAGTGTTTCATTTGTCATTCATTTTAAGTGTTGTTTTCATCAGCTATATGCTTCTATAGCATGTAATAATTTTGGTTTCTTACATATAGCCTAGTAGATCATTACTTTACATGCATCTATTATTGTTTATATGGCAAAAAAAAAAAATAGAATTGAGCCGGGTTTTGGCCTAAAATCAAAATTTTGATTAATTGAACATTTGAACTCGATTACGATTAATAAATGATTATTTTATTTATTTATTTTATTCTTTTGCCCTCATAGTTCACTGACAATGATATTTAGAACTTTCAATAACTGTAATTCTCCAAATGAAAAAGGGTTGGTTGGTTGGTTTGTTGGTTGTACTCTAAATCATCAAAACTATGTCTGTTGTGTTTATGAGCTGTATCGGAGTGCACTCTGAGGGAGAAAGTTTTGCTTTTGTGGCTTCTTTCTCCACTTGTTTGCATTTTTGGGACAACTTATCATTTAGTTTGTGTACAATTTTGCCTAAAGAAAGCTAAAAGAAAAAAAAGTAATGTAATAGATGCATTCATAACACTGACTTGCTTTGGTGCTATTTTGTCATTGATGGACCGGCCAATGCACTATTATTATTAAAGCAATATTAGTGTTATGTGTGTATTATATCAGATTTGACTAATTGTCCTCAACACCTAACTTGTCCTCATCATCTGTTTTTTTTCCTCCAGAGTGCAGCAGCTGCCCCCAGCCCTGTAATGGGCAACATGCCCCCCAACGACGGCATGCCAGGCGGACCCATGCCCCCTGGTTTCTTTCAGGTAAGATGAGCTGGTTTCTTTCTCTTGCTTTCCCTCTTTTTCTCCATTCCTCACCCAGTCACGACTGCGCTTCATTCATCCTTTCATTGATTCTGTGTGTGTGAGTGTTTGCTACCGGTGGGTCTCTCTGTGGCTGTGGGTGGCTTGACAGCAGCCTGAAGCTCTGCTGTCTATGTGAGATCATTCTGACCATTTATTTTAACCTACACTATATTCCAGTACAGGTAAGATGAAGGCACACAGTGTTAAGTGTTAGTGGAAAGTAGTAAAATTATATATTTTTTTATTTTATTTTATTTTTTTTTTTGGAGCCGGGTTACACTTCCTATCTCAAAGTCTTGGACATCCCAAAAGGAAATCGCCCATGGTTTAAGAGCTAAGATCCAGAGTTTGGAGGTTTTTAAACAGTTTTTCATGCATTTGCGAATTTAGATTTTTTTTTTTTTTTCCAAGTCTACACTGAAAATTGTTTTAAGGTGTTGCAAGGTGTTGTAATGTGGTTGCAAACAGATTATATGGGCTGACTTAAAACAAATAAAATTTGTTAATGTTCTTGGTGATGTAACTTATTTAGTTTGTATAAATGAAACTATTTATCTAGGGCTGGGTGATAAAATCAGTATCAGTATTTACTGACCGAACACCATTGTCATTAACAATAAAAAAAAAGTTAGGTGTGAAGTTTCAGTATAAATTGCTGTAGTTTTTATTAAAATTTGGATGATTAACGTGCGCCTTGAAAGGAATGCCAATAAGCTTAGGGTGTAAGTAAGGCATTTCTAATGGAGCAGTGCAAATATTGAGCGATGCACACATGGTGTACATTTTCCAGGCACACCTAGTTGAAAAACATCTGAACCTTTAAGAATGCCGCGAGTGCATCGCAGTTAATGTAAGTAGAACCAACTAATCTGCTTCACACTTTGTATGGAATATACACAATTTAGTAATAATTGTTGACCAATTACCTCAGACAAACACAGCACACTTGAACACTGCAGTGCTTTTTCATTTTCTTCATTAAATTAATATCGGAGCTGCAGCAATTGTTTGTCCGTTTGCCATCCTCTGAGAAAGTGGTTGATGGTTGCCTAGTGCATAAAGATGGCAGGGGAGTGCGAGCTCTTTTTGCGTGTGAGTTTTGTGTTGCGTCATCGCCACTTCAGGTCAGAATAACAACACACGCAAAAATTAGTGCCGTATAGCAGCAGTGAGGAGATTGTAAATAAAAAACGATGTCGCCAGAGTGGCTTTTTGGTTTCTTTTCTTGTGCATCCCAGCCACTACCTCCCCATCAGAAACATTTTTTTAGCATAGGGGGTAATGTAGTTATCCAACTTCACAATTTGTAATGTTGCAATATGTATTTGAATAATGATGGCTGGTTCCTTTACTTGAAAGCTCAGATTTGATTATCTTCATTTGTGTTGTTTACAGAGCTTAAGGTTTACTGTATCATTATTATTCACACCTTAAAGTTTGCTTTGGTTGTTCAGTATTTACGCTTTACCATTGCATACACTTTGATGTCTTTTATTGATCAAGTTTAAGAGTCTTTTTAACACCTATGTTTATTTTATTATAAAGAGAGCAGATATTTTTGTTTAAATATTTGTGTTTTTAACGATTAAAACTATTTGTAGTGTCAAATGGTTGATAGCTGATAAATTAAAATAAAGTGGTTAAATAAAAAAAAATCCTAATATTGTTATTAGTTAAAAAATAGTTAATAATTATGACATGAAACATGATATTGTGATAATTTTTTGCTGTATCGCCCAGCCCTATATTTACCTTAAAAATAGTAAATCCGATGACTCATTTTTTCAATGTAATAAAATTGCACTTTTAAGTGTTTTATTTGTTACAGTTTAAGAGAAAATGAATCAGTGTCTCTAGATTTCAATCACAAAACGTGGTTTTAAACTCTGTTTTCTCAAAATGAGCTTTTTAGCCATAAATCTCCACTTCAGCAGCACTTATATACACCAAACTTCATATCTGTATTATAACGTTTTTTTGTTTTTTTACTGAGGAATTTGTTCATGCATAATTTGTCTGATAATAAACAATGTTTTATTCTGCACACACACACACACACACACTGACTTATTTGTCTGAGTGACAGACAAATAAAAAGATATTCTCAAAATCTCCTGCGTAAAAACGTTTGGCTCTGTTAAAAAATCAAAACACTTTGTCTATAATGTATGCAAATTAGTGCATAAATAAAAATATATCTTTTGCATTTTTAAACATGCATTCTTTGAAAACTTTTTTTAAGCAATTTTTAATTTAATCAACAAACTCTGAAAGAATAACAAAAATTATTATTATTTTTACCCTGTTCACCTGCTGCACTTGCCTTAATACAGCTCCTATGACAAATCAATGGAAACAGTTGTTAACTGATGGTCAGTTAACTGTATAACAAAGCATATTACTTGGAAACAGAGAGAGAGAGAGAGAGAGAGTGAATGGGATTTCCTCTTGAACATCTTGCATAATCTCGTTCATTTCTACTTTCAAAGCTTTTTCATTGTCTTTCTTCATCATTCTTCCGTCCATCTGCTTGCAGCTTTATTCATTCCATACTGCAGGCTGTGTTGTGTTCATTAAGATGCTCTATGTGTTTTATGCGATGCATGCGTGTGTGTGTGTGTGTGTTTTGACAGTTGAGTTTACTCTCAGTGATCAGTCTGTTATGAACGGACGGCCTGTGAAAACAGATCAGTGATGACTCTACGGCAACTTTATGAAGACGTTTTGCTTGTTCTGAGTGGTGTTCGCCCTTGGAAACATTGATGCTATTATGCTATTAGATTCTCTTTTTTTTGTTGTTTTTTTGAGGTTGCTAAGGATTTCAGAGTGTTTTTAGCAGTGGCTAGGTGGTTTCCTGCTGGCACAAGTTAAAATAACCTTTACTGTAAGTCTTTATGATATTCTGTTCCCCTTCTCTGTTGTATTGTTTTTCACTCATGTATCGTCCTGCAAGTGAAAAGTCACTTTGAAAACTGTCGCCACTGCCTCACATGGTTCAGGATTGGTAGAGCTACGCATCGATGAATTTGCTCTTTAGTGTTTGAACTCTCAGTAATGATTAAATCACACTGAACTGAGCTAAACTGAACTGAACTGAACTTAAACACTAAAACCTGAACCACACTGTTCCAGTTACTATGACCATTTATGTGAAGCTGCTTTGACACAATCTACATTGTAAAAGCGCTATACAAATAAAGCTGAATTGAATTGAATTGAATTCTTCCGAAACATTATTCATGTGTAAAAAGTTTAAAGTGTTAGTAAAGATGCATGACATACAGTATTGGTACTACATAATTGGCTAATATTAAAAACTTTTCCCCCGTTATTTTAACTATGCTGTCATGTAACACACATTAAAATTAATATATTCTTATTTTTAGAAAAGATTCAACTTTAAAGGTGCAGTAGGTGATTGTCTTTGGAAACATTTTTTGTTGTGCTGGTTTAAAGTCTCTTCACATTCCAAAAGTAATGATTGAAGAAAATGATCTAATTGTATTTATATGTATTTTTATATTCTGGGTATAAGGTATAACACTAATAAATGGCCGTTAATTCTGATAAACCTAAACTGTTTGTCAGCAAATGTAGATTTGTACAACTGTGCACCTCTGTTCATGCAGATCCACCGATGCGCGTACACATGCGTCACGGTTATGTAGACACGAGTGAGGGCAGTAAAAACAAATGCTGAATCAAAACTTTTTAAAATCCTGAATCAGTATTGAAGTTACTTTTGCATGCTGGAGTAAGGATGACACCATGACTAAAGTATTGCTTTTAGACGGGTAATGTCATGTTATTAAAGTATTTTAGTCACACAAATCTTATGTAGATTCTGTTGTTTTACTAATGAGCTACTGTATATATGACTATTTTCAGTTTAATAAGGGACCTTTTACAGCATCGATAATGAAGATTTTTATTCTCATGTTTTATTTACAACAAAACATGAGTAAACAGCACTATTCCACCTAGCCTGCTTTACTGAGCTGAAGTGGGTTTTTTATTCACATTGGTTCATTTTTGAACAATGACAACCTGTGACGCGCTCCTTATATTGTTTACCATGCTACTCTGATTATTTGCTCTGAAATAGCATGTAAGTATGGCTTAGTAATAAGTGTAATTCCTGCACCCCACCGGCCAACCACTAAGCATACAGTAGTTGCTTTAGGACAAAGCTCGTGAAAAATTGCACATTATGATAAGTTTTGCTTGCTAATTACATAACTGAAAACCTGCTAGATATAATAAAGTTTTTCGTTCAGAATTGTAGTATTACAAAGTACTAGTTTTCTAACTGGCAAATGACATGATCTAATGGGTCTCTGTCATCTTTACTGTGCACGTTCGTGATTTCAGGAGGTGTGGCTTTGGAAGGCAAGGGAGGGATTGTATTTGGAATGTATTGTATTTTGATCAACGGCTGCACTTTAAGTTAATCTTTAGAAAAGTTACAGGTGTTAAATGTATTTTTTTTTAGAAAACCTAATTTTATATCCAGTTCTTGTATTGTATATTATAATGTTTTGATGCTTAATCTTTGTAAGACATCCAAATTATGCATTATTTTCTTAAAATACATTTTGTGATATTTTTCAGTTAAAACCATATTGTTTCTGTTCTGAAACTTTTCATTAATGAGTGAATGTGAAATTTATGTGAAGTTTGATTTAACACTGCAAAAAGTGAAATAATGTGCAATATTGTTACAATTTAAAATAACCATTAAATGTAAATGTAATAATGTCAAATGCCATTTATTCTTGTGTTGAATTTTCAGCAAATAGTAACAAAATCCCAATCAAGTTTTTAGCAAAAGCTACATCTTGTTCATGAAGCATGGTACTGTGATGAGTAGTAAATCTCCCTCAAAGGACAGAGGGTGCTCTAACACAGAAAATCCCTATAGTTGCTGAATAAACTGAAAATTTAACTGCTTTTACTGA